CAACATTTGATGCAATTTCTCTGACCCATTTTTTTCGACACCTGAAAATCGTCAAACATGCAAAACACTTCTAACTTTTATGCGTCTCACCAAGAAACTAAACATGCTAAACAGCTGAAACAGTGAACATATATTCGAGACGAGTATACCAGCATAAAAAAATTGCGAAACGAATGTACGAAGCCCGCGAAATTTGAACATTCACCATATTGTTTGAACAATTCACTACATAGGTATTCTATGTAGTGAATGTAAACATTGCAGGTTTATTAAAAGTTTGTAAAAGAATTACTTCAAACTTAAATAAATATCAATAAAAAAAATTCGTGACGACGCCAAATACTATAATTTGAATTGAAAAATTTTAATTTCAAGTAATTTTTACCATTTGTTGGAGGTGATGTACATGATGAAATCAAAATATTTTTAAACAGAGGCATATGCCTGTTCCCCATTTCTGATAATAACATCATGATTTCGTTGATAATGTGTTGTGCTACAAACCTCTATGGATATCAACTCCTTTGAGCCAATAACTATATAAAAGATATTGAATCGGTATATTAGGAATTTCTGAGGTTTCTTTATAAATAAATAATCGGTTTACGTCAAATAAAATCCCCCTATTGACATATTGCGAAATTTATTATTATTCCTGTGGTTATTTTTATAAAAATTTGTTGACCAGTTATGAAGCATTTATTTTTGCATAAAATTGTAATCCATGAATGAACAACTTTCTGACTCGCCACTGCCCTCTGTTTAGTATAATTCAGAGTTTCAGAAGATCAAACACTGAACGTCAGTGGGTCGCAGTTGGCCGCATCATTTTAAGTTAAATTTAAAGCACAAACAAGTGCCGAAGTTAAACTTCATCGAAACTTTTCGAAAAAAAAGTTTTCCATATGGTGCGCACTTTAATGGTGACACTGTATATGAATATTCATTTTCATTTTTTATTGCTGAGTGAGGTTGAATATGTCTTCAATGATATGACGAAATACTTTTATTTTAATACATAATTGAATTTATTATTACTGTGATATACATCTAGAATCTACCAGAAATAAGGCACCTTTATAGATTGATACTCCTTCAATGAATGTCGGAGGCACACTAACTAATTGACGTAGTACATCAATTCTTGCGAATTGATGTATACAGGGAGATGCATTACAGATGCCCTCCTCTACCAAAAAACATATTTTTTGTACAGATACATTTTTTACCGGTTTAGTTTAAAGTTTCGGCCAATCATTTATTTCTTCAATACTGTCTATACAAGTTTCTACTTTTCCACAGTTTCTGCTAGAACCAGGTTCAACAATTGCCGATTCTCAAAATGAAATTTTTGCCCCTTTTCAGCTTACTACTATATAAAAAATTAACAAGGGATTTGGCAATTTTAGTGTTAATGAACGCACTCTTTGACGTTGGTTGGCGAAATTTCGTTCCCAAGCCCCGAAGTGGTCGACTTATATTAATCCAGGACGAGGATTTGAAGACCCTGATGGATTTTGACCCATCACAAACGGTTCATGGGATTTCGGAAGAACTGGGCGTCGTCTCCCATGCGGTTTTTGATGGTTTAAAACGCATTGAAAATGTCAAGAAGCTCGAAAAGTGGGTGCCGTACAATTTGAACGATCGACAGAAAGTGTCACGTTTCGAGGTCTGTTCTCCTTTACATTTGGGCAACTGAAACGAACGAACCTGAAACGGATCGACACGTGTAATGAAAAATGTATCATCTACGACAACAGGACAGTGGTTGGACAACGATGAGCCACCCACCCAAAACATCATAGAAGAGCGCGTTTGTGAGGAAATCGACGAAATGTACCGAAAATTGTGTCAGCAGCAGCTGGCACTGGTTAACAGAAGAGATCCGATCCTGCTTCACGACAACGCCCATCCGCACGTTTCACAAAATCACCGTCCGAAAATTTAACGAATTAAGCGTCGAGGTTATGCCTCACCCACTATACTACGCAGACCTCACGCCAACCATTTTTTCAAGCACTTCGATAACTTCATCACCAGTAGAACCTTCGCCAATCAGGACTAGGCAAAACGTCCTTCGTCGACTCCATCGAATTCCCAGCACATTATTGTTATGCTAACGGAATTAATCGACTTGTGTTATTTTGGCAAACGTGAGCTAATTCAAATGGCGCTTATTTCAATTAAATTAAATAAGTATTCACTGAGGTATTAAAGTTTAAAGAAGACTCATAAAACGTACAAAACTTTCGAAGCAACCTTATACCTAAATTGCATAATTCTCATAGAAATGAAAGTTTTAATATGTCCATTCTACGGCAACTAGAAATTCACTCTATCAAATTGAATTGGTTATGGAAAAATCATATGAGCTTCAGAATGTTCCCACAAACAAAATTCATAGTTGATCATATTCAAGAAATCGAATTTCATAACTCTTCATTTGACTGCATGGAAGGATTATCTGTTCAAACAATCGTGAAATTTTTGAATTGTTTAACACATCGCGAAGAAAATTGAATTGACCATGTTTTTTCAGTTGCATTCCTGTTTTACCTAAAAAACCCAAACTTTTTGATTGCTCCCTTCGAATTCGTTACATTTATTATACCTCAAAAAATGTTTAGTGTGTTGCTGGTCACACGGAGTCAGGCCTCAAACTACGTTCTCTTTTTTATATAATCCTCTTTCGTCGTTGAAGGTGTTAGGTCATAGGTTATGTCCAATGTGAATGGGTCTATTCGACCCTCCACCGCAACCCGCAAGAGTTTATTGTGGCTCACATCTATTCACACTCGACCAAATAATCCCAGCTTCTTAACGAAGCCGATTGGTTTGTATGGTAAGTGGTCTCAGGTCAGATTGCAAGAGTACGGCTCTGCCGAACTCTAAAAACCTGATTCGGTCCCCAGCGGGGCAGGCCTTCTTGAAACAGCAGAGCTGTTTTGTACCTGTACCTTTGTACCTGTCCCGCTGAGGACCCAATCAGGTTTTTATAGTTCGGCAGAGCCGTACTCTTACCATGTGACCTGAAAGTCGAGTGTGAATAGGTGTGAGCCACTATAAACCCTTGCGGGTTGCGGTGGAGGGTCGAATAGACCCACTCACTTTGGACCTCACTTTAACCTAACCCTTCTTGTCTTCAATCGAGGACCGTCTGCCCGGTTCTGATGATGACTAACAGACTGAAATAGCTGTATACCGGTGGTTCTTAAGGTTGAAATCAAATTGGGAATGACCAGAATAGTACTTACTCATCTATTATCTATCTATTTATCTTTTGATTTTTATGGAATCATTTTCCAGCATTAACCTTTCTTGATTATATATCGGCGTATTTCCGGTCGGCCCCAAGCGGCGGCAACTCACGCTATTTTAGATGAATTGTACTCAACTTTAATCCTCTACTAGCAAATTTTCACAGTTTTCCTACTTTAAGTTTTCGCAATATTTATCAACGCAGCTGCCGAAGAGTCACCCCGTATATCGGAGCCATATTCGGGTTCGCAGTTAAGACGATTTTACAGTCGCAGCCGGGCAATTACTATCGAGTGTTCGAGCCGTTCGAGGACCATTCGCGGACCATTCGCCTAGCTATTTTGAATACGGCTCTGCTTCTATCTTGAATCTTCAAGTTTGATGGACTTGCTGTATACATATACGGCGTTGTCACATCTTCAATAGTTTCCTCGAACTAGTGTTAACAATTTCAACAGAAAATTGTCTTATTTATGGACAAATACAATATATCGTATCGAAAAATTGAATATGAAAAATGAGAAATAAAACTTTCTATATTTTTTTACCACTTGTATTTGTAACTATCGTTTCGTCCTATTAGAACATTTTGGTATTCGTTTTAAAATGTTCGTATAGGACGAAACTGCTTTTGTTACGAATAAAAGTGCTAAAAAAACAGGAAATTATTTTATTCCTCACTTTTCATGATGATTTACTACCACGTAATAACGGCTTCATCCATCAATTTATTGCAAAATAAATAATTCATTTTGTTCGATTGATGACCTATTTATTTTTTTGGAAATTCATATCAAATATAGGATAGAGAAAATAACTTTTGTCTAATGTGTACATAGATTTTTACTTGTTAAGACCTGTTTCGGTTTCTCTATCCTATATTCAAATGACTCGTACATTTTGGATGTATTGATAGTTAACGCTGGACAACCTTTTTCAGAGTAACAATGATTAATGTACAAGAGATGCACTCAAAACAACAACAACAACGGAGATATAAAATCAATCGGAAAATGTGAACAAACAATCGTAACAATATAACATTATATTGAACAATGATCTATGAGAGAAGTGATTTTTTAATTGAACATATATAAAAATCGTTGAATATTTGATTTCTTTTTCATCTACTATTTACTAACTTTGATTCTTTGATTAACATCAGATACACATAAATAATCAAATCTCATGATAATTACAGTGACATGTGTGTGTCATATTTTAGTTTTATTTGTAATGATATATTTCCAATTTTGGCTCAGCTACACGACACTGACAAGGGCCCACTGATCCACGGGCAATATTTCAAAAAAATATGTTGAAGAAATATTCATTATCGTATTTGAGTATAACTTATTGTGAAATTTTCACTGAACAGTGAAACGCCTATTGATACGCCAAACACAAGGGGGCTTGTGTCATAGAGTATGACTCACTTTTTTCTATGATTTTTCGTCATTAACCACATAGTGTACCTTTTTCAGTTTTGACTATAGAATGAAAAACCCAAATGGCATAAATACAATTATTTCAGTCAGTACGCATAAAAACCTGACATATGTCGTTTTTTTTTTCATTCAAAAATAAAGACTACCTATTAAGTTACGTAATAGGATATAATTTCGAAATCTAAAATGATCATGTTTCAGATTTTTTTTGGAAATATGTACGATTGCAGTGATGAATTTATTTCATTTGGCTATTCCACAATAAGTATATGAAAAACTGGCAACATTGATGAGATGAGTGTATGTGAAATTTAAGGTTCTGTCACAGAATATTGTTTACTATTTTGTAGTTCTGTTTTGTTTTTAAATTGTGGGCTATTAACAAGTTTGGAATGCTTTTTTACAATCCTTTTTTTGGGATTTGAATTGATGACAGTCCTTACACAAATGTGTTTTGTTATTCGTTAAAAAGTCTCTAATTTCACTACGAACATCAGTCTGGTGCAGTGCGTGTAAGATATTCATAAGGTGACTTGTCAAAGGTGAGGTTAGAATATTGATTATACTCTTGTAATTGTTCTGTTGGATACTTTTACACACAAGTTATTACTATTTAAACCGTTTCAAAACCTCTTCAACTTGAAAATTGTTTCTGTCATTCATAAAATCCATTTTCTCGATCACAAGTGATATTGACCTTAGATATCATAACTGTAAAGTAGTCAATGACTTCTTTGTTGAATGCATAGTTTTGAATAAAACCCAGGATACAAATTAATTGATGCTAGTCAATTTTTCCGATGTATAAGGGTAACTTAATGAAAGGCATATAACATTCCCCTAATCGTTGCTTTTACTTCTGAAATTTTCTGAATTATTATTTTTATCAAATCATTTTATGTAAGTTATATTTATGAAATTAGAATAAAACTGAAAAAATGCAGTTTTCGTCTGAGATATGTAATGTCTTGTCCTTAAGTTTACTGTGAAATCATGACTCAATTACAAATAAGTTTTCAATTATAAGAATATATACTTTCCGATTGTTACTACTAAAAGTAACTTGTGCATGAAAGTTACCACTGAAAATTGATGATCCCATTGCTCATGATTTATTACTGATGACTTGCAATTTTAGACTGGTGCATGAACCTATTTTTATGAATCAGTCATTAAGTTATGGGTATCATTTGATGTACCAATCCAAAGTCAGAAAATATTTTCCAAGTTATGTATTTTTTTAGGTATATTACCAGTTTTCAGAAGTGACAATCTGAAATGGCATCGAGGAACAAATTGGGCACAAAACATGACGACCACAGTGTTGAAACTTTGGCCGAAGTGTTTCGATGTTTCATTTGCATGGAAAAGCTACGTGATGCTCACTTATGTCCACATTGCTCCAAGCTGTGTTGCTATGTTTGCATTCGCAGGTGGCTCACCGAACAACGTTCTCAATGTCCCCATTGCCGCGCTTCTCTACACTTACATGAACTTGTGAATTGTCGATGGGTAGAAGAGGTCACCCAACAGCTAGATACTCTGCAAGCAGTCACTTTAAATGGTAATAGAGTCGATGAAAATGATAGGGATAAGTGCTCGACTCATTTGGAAAAGCTGTCAGTGTATTGTTGGACTTGCAGATGTTGCATTTGTCATCAGTGTGCTTTGTGGGGTGGCACACACTCCGGCCACACATTTAAACAATTGAATGAAGTGTATGAGCAACATGTTACACAGATAAAGGATGAAGTGGCTCAGCTTCGAAGACGTCTTATGGAGCTCATCAGTATTGTGCAAGAAGTAGAAAGAAATGTAGAGTCAGTAAGATCAGCTAAAGATGATAGAGTACGAGAAATACGTAACGCAGTAGAACTTATGATAGCTCGGTTAGATTCTCAGCTCAAAACCAAATTGCTCACCCTAATGGGTCAAAAAGATTCACTCACACAAGAAACTGAACAATTGGAGCACTTATTGCTTGAAATCGAACATAAGTTGCATACTTGTACTAGATCAGAATTGATCTCTAAAAGTAGTGAATTATCAAGGATGATACACGCTATAAGGAAAAAACCAATGACTAGCTTTGTCACAGCACCGGTACCAGCAGATTTTCATAGTGAAATAGTACCTTCGTATGATAGTAACACTTTTGTTATGCATTCTTTTTCACAATTACAACGTAAAGCAGATCCCGTATATTCTACCCCGCTCCATTGCAATGGGTTATGTTGGAGATTGAAAGTTTATCCAGATGGTAATGGAGTCGTAAGAGGTAACTATCTCTCAGTTTTTTTGGAGCTCAGTGCTGGATATCCTGAAACTTCCAAATATGAATACCGGGTTGCTATGATACATCAAGCTGGCAGAGATTCTTCAAAGAATATTGTCAGAGAATTCGCTTCTGATTTTGAAGTAGGTGAATGTTGGGGTTATAATAGATTCTTCCGTCTTGATCTCTTGGCCAGTGAAGGTTACCTAAATGAAACTTTGGATACATTGGTTCTGAGATTCCAAGTTAGAGCGCCTACATTTTACCAGAGATGTCGTGATCAACAGTGGTATATAAACCAGCTTCAAACTGTTCAGCATCAATACATTTCCCAGATAAACGAGTCAAAGGAACGACTAGCAGCTGAAATATCGAGGAACGCTGTCGCTGCCACACTGAGGTCTTCAAAAAGACAAAATGAAGTGACCAATATGTCACTTGTTAAAAATATGTTCAATTTACCTACTGTACTCAATGATATTGAAAACATTCCCCTTGCAGAAAGGTCTTTTTCAAGTGAACTTGGTAATTTCACCAGAAGTTTAACATCATCTATGACCAATAATCAGCCAAAGTCGGAAGATTGTCCTTGTTCCTCTAAAGGAAAAGGGGATAATTTTGCAAAGAAATCCAATAATAGTCCTCCCCATCAAATGCTTGGGTTAGGGGTTTCTTTGAGTTCACCAAACCTCCTGAATTCCACTGTTTCATCATCAATGCTATCAACTAGTAGCAGCGAGAGTGACCTAAGTGAGACTGAACCTCTGGTGGAAGAATTTAAACCAAGACCAATGTGTTTGCCAGGTTTATCTTGTGAGGCTTCCAATGATGAAAATGATGTAGACCTTGAAACAATGTCAGGTGAAAACGATGTAGAGTATGCTGAATTTTCCATGGCTCAACGAATGGTGGCACGAGACCCCAGTTCTACCAGTAGTAGTATTGTAGGAGCTACAGCATTATCTCCAACAGATCTCATGGATAGCTTCGAACAGAAATTGAGGCTTCTCCAGTTTGATCAAATTTTTTTGAATAAACAAGAAACCGTTGCCAATAATACAGCCTCTTCTAGTTCCACTGCTTTGTTGGACCTAACACCTCCTAACACAAATTTGGGTTTACTTGGTTCAGCATTATCTATTAAGAGTGATGGCCCTGGTACTCCAGAAAATAAGAAAAAACTCAAACAAAGATTCAAATCAAATGATGCTCCATCTGGATCTAGCAGGCAAGGAGGAAATTGGATACAAACTGTTCCGATCTCCCACAACACAAAGGAGTCTGTTATGGGTCCCCTCGAATCTTTTCTGCGGTCAATTAACTGTTACCCGGAGCAAGATCAAAATCGAGCAAAAGATATTACTTCGAAAGAAAAGGAAAAAAATGCTTCCAAGGCAAAATTTCCCCCTCTCCTGCCAACTTCGCCTCCACCAATGAGTGATAACTTGGAGGTTTCTTTGCAACCCCCATCTGCTTCAGGTTTCAGCTGGACTCCGTCTTTATTAGGTCAAAGACGAGCTGGTAAGTCTCCTCGAGTGCCAACAAGTGATCATGCATTACCAGAGAAGGACGAAAGTAATTCTGAAGATCATCCTCATTCTGCTTAATATGTATAAGTATATAGGTGTTTATATTTAAATGAAAGATAAACAGCTCACAAAAATACCTAACAATACCTCATAATTCATTAGAATTTTTAAGCCATATTTTTTAACAACATTAAATGAAAATATCTAAATTATTGCAGATTATAGAAGCTGTTACGTATATCATTGTAAAGTCCAAGTTATTAGCATTTTGAAAAGTGCAAATAATTGTTTTTGAATTGAAATTCTGTAATGGAAAATTCTGATTAAAATATGTATAGTGATTGCTTATTTAAAAAATGAACAATATTACCGTTTTAATTGAAGGAATCTAGTCAAATTAAAGTGAATTCAATGAATACAAGAATAAGCAATAACTGTGAGGAAATAGAAAACTAATTACTAGAAATTGAGATTGGCTAAAATTTAAATATAATAAAAGTATACAATATGTGTCACATCAAACTTTCATTATAATTTTCAGATGAGATTATCAAAAAATGTTGCATAAGTTAGGTTTTTGAATGAAATGTATATTGCTTTTCATATTTGGATTTTACAACTATACAAATTATTTTTAAAGAGAGCGCTCAATATTTCATTGAAGATGTGATATAGGGTTTTTAAGGAAAATACCTAGCGAAAAAATTTCCCGCGAATTTCGACCCAAAATCATTCGTATGTATCTGAAAGTGAAAGTTTATCCCCTTAGATATGAATAGAGGCCTGGTTTAGTGTTGAGAATTATTCTACTTCATATCTTGAAGACACCAACTTGAGGAAGCTATTGTATAGCAATACATGCTTCATGGTTTTTGTAAAACTCATAGTGACGAGAATCATTCTTGCCTGGAGAAATTATTGTATAGTGAAACACGTGTCGCGGTAAAACCCTTTTAGTGAAAATCTTACAGTAAATTGTATCAGTTTCAAAGGACAATATTGAGTTAAACTAAACAGACATACATATAGATGTTTCAGAATACATCAATATATGCAGAAATGTAAATATACAAAGTTACAAAATTAATATTAATTGTTATTTCATGGGGTTTTTAATAACTTGTCTATTGACAGACACTGTTACACAGTATTTCAGGAGAATTAGTCCGCACTTATAGGCTGACAACAAGGAATTATTTTTTTTTCCTGAATCTTTTCATTCTGTATTCGCTTTAATCAATGCAAAGATAAGTAAATACTTCTCTTGAATATACACGAAGTCAAATTTCACATAAGTGCTGGGGTAGGCATTGGAAGGCAAATAAGGTGTGACTGATATAAACTAAATACTGGCCGTACGGCCCACTTCTACTGGATATTCAAAAAAAGCCCTTTCATCGATAGCTAAAACTTTTATAAAAACTTTTTTTGATAACTTCACTCTTTCATCTCAAACTACTAATGGAAGTTAGAACTGTATGGAACAACTTACACTTCTGCATTTTATCAGTTCGGACTTCCATTGTCTAATATGATTTAAATTAATTTGAAAAATTTGTAAAAAAAATAAAAAGATTAGCTGAAAAAATAATTTTATTAGACAAAAAACTGAAATTACAATGAAATAGCATACAAGCAACAACCAAAAAACCAAAAAAATTGAACTATTAACACGATGAAATTTAAAAAATTATTAACGAAAATTAAAAATATAAAATTAAAAGATTCAAAACAAAGTTATTTCACGACGTTTCGATTGTTAGTATCCACTATCATCTTCGAGTGATAACAGATTCTTTCAGGTATTTCAAATCAATTTAAATCATATTAAACAATGGAAGTCCGAACTTATGAAATGCACCACGAAACATTGTCAGCCACCTTCAAACAACTTACACTTCTCTTACTAGTACTAAGATAGATTTCAATCAAAGAACTAGGAGCAGTTTGTTGGACAAGCTATCTTGTTTTTAATTTTTTTGATTGATACCTCAGTTGAATTGAAAAATCACGGTTTTGAATAATCAACAAATTTTTAGGATGTACACTTATTTCATTAGGAAACACTTCTTAGTAGTCATTATTGCCTGTATTCTGTATACTGAATTTTTGAGAGCATTCATTGAAATGCAGTGTAAAAGTGGCAAAGTAGTTGTTTCAAACCATGTAAAATCTAATCAGGAATATTGATATTGTAATATCATTTACCTTCTTTCAGTAATTTTCTTGTACGTTATGCAAACATTAGGTGCTAGGTTTTTCTGAGCTGGAAAATTAAGTAGTAATGTTGAATGGAATAATCTTTATTGAATGAATTGTGATTGATTTTGTGATTAACTCATAGCATGTATCTAATCAAAGTTGATTATCGTTTAAGAGGAGGATATTTTTTTATTATATGTATGATTTGCAATAGGTCATTTAAGTAGTATCAATGAGTTCTTTAGAATATGAAATTTTCTGCATTTTGTTTTTTTCTGAGATTGCTTAGCTTATTTACTCAGTAATTTTACATTTCAGTAAAATTTCAATTATCCAAATTATTTAGGACCAACCCTAACCCAGTTAATCAAACACTGTAAAACATTTTAATTTGTATTTTTATTTATGAAGGTGAGGTGAATGACAGAACAAATTGCCAATTTATAAAGTGAATTCAAATACAATAACCATTTCCGGGTATGTAAGTTTTTGGTTGGTTCTAAATGTGGAAGCTTATAAATACATTTGATAGTTTTCTCAATAGCTTAAGATTCGCGGTATTTACTGTATTATTTCTTGACTTCAGAACATGCATTGTTTGCATAAATACACGATTTCACCTGAAAAATCTAAATGAAAAATTCTCTAAAAGTAATCTGTAAAATTGGCAATCCAGATAGTTGGAGTTATACTTTACTATCATTATCACCATTTATGTGACGTTGAAGTTTCAAGTGAAAATATATAGGATTATTATCTTCACATAAGGACAGCTACTTTGGTAGTCAATAAATTAATTGACTACTTATGATAATGTTTTTATTCTATTTTGTTCAGAGGATATTTTTCTATTTTTATTGTGATTTATAAATGCGCTATTTTGTTTTGTGTCACAATGATGCACTTGGGCACTTGCTCCATTCTGTTTGTTATTTATCAAAGATAGAAATCATTGATTTTTGTCTAGCTGCTATTATATTATATGGTAGTACATATTGATCGATCAATACATTGTATCTATGTTTAAGGTTTCATGAATTTATGTTAAATTTATATATTATTGTTTAATTACTCTTTTAAATATCTCAAATTATAAAAGAAACAAATTCATTAAAATGGCGTTGAATTAAAGTTTGTCTTTTTTTGATATTGTTACAACAGAGTTTTAGCAAATTTTACTTTATCATTTTTTCGTGTGAATTTATTTATATTATGTTTCACTAACGATAAAAATATCATTCAGAAAAAAGTTCATTTATTGAATACTCTATTTTCCCATGGAACTGAAGAACAAACACGGAAGAGAAACTTTCAGATAGTCAGACAATATGAGACAAAAGCAGTTTCTGTACTGTAATCTGGGAGTATTGCTAGATAATGAAGGCTTAGAAGAAAAAGAAATAGAGCTCAGAATGGTTTAAGCTAGAAATTGTGCTGAGGGTTTGACAAAAATCTTCAAAAATAGATAAGTATCAAGTGAAACAAAATTAAGAATCTACAAGACAATATTGGGACTAACCCTTAGTCATGCATGTGAGGCTTGGATAATGACAAATGAATGGAAGCTAAGGTTTAGAAGCTTGGGAAAAGAATATTGTGAGGTGAATTTATGGGGCAAGGCAAACAGATCTTGGGTGGGAAAGAATAATGAACACAGAGATATACGAACTGTTCAATTACATATAAATAAGCAAGTTCATAAAATCAAGAAGGTTAGAATACCCATTTATATTTTGATCTTCATATTTTATCTATAGTGAAGAGTGTATTCCACATATAAGATGTAGAAAGAACATCATGTTTATATGTTACTTCGGTAAAGAAATTTACCAATCCCAACCATCAGCCTTCCAACTATATCACTCATCTCAAAGTGTTCTCCATCCATAAAATATTACCATTAAATAAAGTTGGCACTGTAGCCTAGAATTTAATATTTTTTAAAGCAACTTTTTTCCAACATAAATTAATTATTACTTTCAGGCAGAAATGTTTTCATAGTGACCCCCAGCCAACAAGTTCTCATTTTTTAAAGATTTTTTGTTACTGTTTCTGTTACAACGAAATTTAGAATAAATTCGGTTGAACATTTGAAAATATAAGTTGTGGAATTGGCCGCGGTGGTAGTGCGCCCGACTCACGATCGGAAGACCGTGGGTTCAACTTCCGCCTCGACCAGATATTTTTCTCGAGATAATTTATCTGGTTGAAGCTGGGATAATTCTGCAACCGTGTTAGGAATCACACGTTAAAAGGTAAGACCTTGTTAGTCCTTAGCTCGCACAAGTTTCTCAACTTCTGAGAGTTGTCGTTCGTATGGAGGCGACAGCTGATTAACGGAAAAATAGATTTTAAACAGATATAAGCGGATTTTGAAAATATAACTGTCGAAGATATTGAAATTATTTAATAATCTGTCAACACAGTTGAGATAAAAAGCATATACCTGAACCTTTACCAAAAAGGAAAGTACCATTGACCCGATCTCGATCCTCCATTATTCATTTGGTCTGTTGATAAGTACGTTTCCACATCTCGACTTCTACTTATGAAATAGGTTTCAAACCACTCTGGAGTTTAAAAAAATATATTTTTCTGTTAACCAGTTTTCGTACCCCTACGAACGACAACTCTCAAAAGTCGAAACTTGCGAGGTCTTACCTTTAAACGTGTGATTCCTAGCACGTATTTGAATAAACTCCACAGTGTTATATTTTTGCAGCAATATTCTGTAATGCATGAAGTCAAATGTTTTAAATCACAAAGGACTGACTTATTATTTTATTGTAAATACTTGTCGGCCAATTTTTCAAGTTGATTAATGAGATCACCACCTTTATATAAAGAGATGAAAACTTGCATTTTTTTTCATGAGAATATACCGGTGTTGAAGGAAATCGATAATATACATTTAAATTGTATCAATTGAGTTTTCAGCGGTAGAAACATTTTTTGAATGTAACAGCGGAGGCATATTATTTATTATTCATTCGTTCGTCAGCGTTAACTTTTTAGCTTTGCAATCCGAAGCAAGAGTGAGATTTATGGATCATTCTTATCTTTGGTTTTCTTGACGTTATAATTCATAAAAGTATTTTATCCACTTCACAAAAATTTTGATGACATTTATGTGAAGGTATGACATTTGTCAAATTCAAAAAATCCATACATGTTTAACTTTTTAACCAGTCTTATTTATCTGGGTTTATTTTGACTTGAATATAGTATGAAGAAATAACTTAAGTTTTTTATTTGTTACGACCAATTTCGGTTTGTTAAAGCATTCTCAAGTAAACTGGTATATTTTGTGAAAACAATGCTAAGTCAGGTACGTACAATAGGAACCTGAAATAACAAATGTTATAAAAGGTACAAACAAGTCATTTTGACTTAATGACTTATCTTAATAATACTATCACTATATAATTATTTCACTGGTTTACTTCGCTTGTTAAACTGATCGCTGCCGCAATTTGTAGAGTAATACAATAATTAATCTGAATTTTTGTTATCCCACATTCTTCAAATTGGGTATTACATTCCCCTACCAGAATGGTTGCATCCAGCACAATCTCGATATACAGTAGCAAATACTTCCTTTGCTAATTGCCAGGACCGGTTCCGTGATGATACCATAAAAATAATGTTCAAAATCCAGATATGTTCAGGCATCTATTCCAATTAAGTTATTTTTACTGAATTTTACAAAGATCGTGCGAAACCTAAATCATCCTATATAAAGTTGAATTCAAAAATAATCTGACCCTTGTAAATATTATTATAATTAATTGTGACCAGTGCTTGCGCATAATTATGGTTCTCCTCATACAGCAAAGGGTAATAAAATGAGGGTGTACTGTGGGTGTGAGACGATGACAGGGGAATGGAAATCTTACATTTCCTTGCCCCCGTGTAAATATTGATCAAACGAAGTTGTCATCGAAAATTTGATTCTGAAACACGCAATCTTGAAATAATGGTTTTACTGTTTGACTATTCGTGAACGGAAAGATTTATTGGATCGTTTACATTTTTATGAC